CCTATATGCCCTTCTCCCCAGTAAACCTTGCACTAGGCTGTTTAACTGTATCAGTGGTGGGGGAGCCAGTGGGCCTCAACATGGATTTGGTGTGCAAAACTGAGACCTGAAAGAATGAACAAAAAGTATTCACTGGAGATACTGAGGTTCTTTTTTTCCTCCAAATTATTTAGATTGAAAAAGTGGTTTTGTTTTCTTGCTTGCATAATACACAAACTGATCCTACGCCCTTAATGTGAAGTTACTGTTGTTAGATGAATTTACTTCACAGTGTTAGTGTGGTAAACCAAAATGTTTTACAATACTTGGAGCAAATTTTTATTTTGCTTTTTATACCAAGCTTAGGATTATCTCATATATGAAAATATGAACTTCTAGAAGTCTAGGAGAAAAATCTATGTTTTTTTAACTTATCTAAATGTCATATTTGATTTAGATGCTGATGCTAGTGAAGATTCCTCTCCCCCGCTCCCAGAAAGAACACCAGAATCATTTGTATTAGCAAGTGAACAGAGTGAGTTTTTGATGTTTGGTGATAATTGGAGATAAAATGTGAAGAGTATGTCAGTATTTGAGTTTCCCTGATTTTTGGTTAGTCTGTTGGAGCAAATTGTAAAATGGAATGAAATCTAGCAGCAGTTTATTTTGAGGTTTAACTTTTACACACCCTTGAACACAGAAATTATTTTTCATTTTCTGACTGAACATGGTGTTATAGGATACTTAAGTAATTGGAGACTTCAATATTAATAGAGCTGGTTTTCAATCTGAAGAGTATGGAAATGAGATGATATAGTGGGGAAATGCAGTACAGTTAGTTCCCAGCTATTTTAATTTCCTACTGCTCCTAGGTAGGGAATAAGTATGCACATTAACAGTGTTTGTCTGATTTCCCTTTCTTGTGCAAAGGAAAGATGATGACACTTTATTCTGCACTGCATGTAATGAATAAGCCCAGTTTGTCAAGTTTAATGTAGTTCACTCTTTGACTGTGTCAAAAGGGTAACTGCAAGAGAAAGCTGACACTTACAGGTGATGTACTCCTATTGTCATAGTTAATTCATAAATGTAGTAATGGCAGGATACAAAATAGATGCATTGAAATTAAGTGATAAATTAGGTTAATGCTTGGTACCTTCCAGAAAACTGAAAATGATGTAGTTATTTACTAATACTTTTGTTTAGTGTCATTTTGAAACTCAAAAATTTTGGCCCAAGTAGTTAATCTAGATATTTTCAGCATGAAAATGCTGAAGTTTTGTAACTGTTCTTTGAGCATCATGAACATTGGTAGTTCAGAGTCAGTGATGCTTTCTTTAGATATTATGGATCTGTTGCTTTTCTGTGACTGCACAAGGAGCAAAGCTGTTTTCTTTTTTTAAAAAAAAAAAAAGTCTCTCCCCAGGACTGGAGTCACTAAAACAAATTTGTTTGTCTTTTTGCATGATGTCAGTAAAGGACAGGTGTAGCTGTCTGGTCCTGACTTGTATGTTTACTTAGGAGATCTGAAAAACATACACTATTACTGCCCAGCTGATGTAACAGAAGTTCTAAATTGTCCTTGAAAAGGAAGCCAATTCCCCTGTTGATTAGGAACCCCCAAAGGAACAAAATGGACATCCACAATGCAAGCACTGTATTCTTGTGCTTTGAGTTATATTGTGGCATTTTGCCTTTTCTGGAGCACTTTCATCTAAAGAGATTTTCATGTTTTTACAGGCATTTAATCTTAAAAAAAAAAGATTACAGCATATTTCTAATGCTGTGTACTTACTGCACTAATGCCTCTTCGTGAGGAGAGCTGAAGTATGTTGAGTTGATTTAATTCTTCCTAGGCACGCCCTTGCCGAAGCCAGTTCTGATTGCACAGTCGGAGTGGAGCGTGTTGCGTGATCAGCACCTGCCTGAGCAAACAGCCTCCACAGTAAGTGCAGCAGACAAGTCTGTTCTAATCAGTCATTTCTGGTTTGGTTGGGAGCTACATCTGAAAGTAAAATACATACTTGTGAGAAGTTGCAACCGTTGGTCATCTATAACGGGCCAGTTTTACCTCTGCCTGAGCTGCTGAATTGATGTGAAGAGTTTGTTTTCTTTCCAAGAAAATCATCTGGTTTTGTAAGGTCAGCAATACTTTTAAAAAGAGTAATCCTAAATATACGTTAAACTATAGCCTTAGGAGTGTAAATATGCTGCTTTTAGGGAGCTTGCTGTCTGCCCTTAATGGATCTTAGGCCAATTCAAGCTGGAATAGAACTGCAGTTGCTCATCTAACCTGTGGCAGGGGCTCAGCCCAGGCTAACCAGAGCTTTTTCCAGCTGGGTCTTGAGAACCTCCAGAGATGGACACTTATCATCTGTGGGTAGCCTGTTTCACTGCCTGAAAATGGTTTTCCCTTATGTCCATTTTTATTTTAAACAAACCATTTTTGCCCATCAGATTTCACTTTTCACTCATCTAGCTCACAGTCATTCTGCATGAACAGCTGGCAAAACTTTAAAAGCATACAAGTCCTTTCTACATTTGTCACTTTTTTTCAGGTGCCCCTAGTATCTCGCTTAAAATTATGACAAAAAAGATAGATGTCAATTTTCAGGGACTGTAAATGTAGTGTGAGAACTAACTTACCTAAATTTCCAAATGAGTTGCAGTGTCATATTTTCAAATTTTTATTAAATGCTAGGGTTCTAGTAGTAAATTCTCACATTACTGTAGCATTTTTTGTCAATGTTGAGTCAAGTCAAAAACATAAAGGCAAGTAAGTATTCCCATGGATGTTACATGTTTTTGGTGATGTTTTCATAAGTGTAAATTTCTGACTTTCTTTTAGATTTTAGAAGTGGCTTGAGTAATTATTTTATATATATCTCTCATTAACAGGGTTTGAAAACAACTTCACCTATACTACCTGGTAAGTGGTGGAAAAGTTTTCCTAATTTTTTTTTCAAAATACATTTTTCCTGCAGAACAAAAATTTGTCTCAACTTGGTATTTGTTCTGAAGATAACTAAATATATAGTCAAATATAATTATATTATACTAAATATATTGTTACCTATGATGTCTAAGCACCTTTAGTTTAGAAAGAACACGAACAGATTATGTTGATGTATTAGATGGCACAGTGAGCTTTTGCTATAAACAGATGCTTTGTGGGATTTTAGCTATCCATACAAACTAATACGAAATAATAATCCATATTTGGAAAGCAGGAATATGTTGCTGTCACTGAACATCCACTTCATAAACAGTTTTCAGGTATCACTTTTAGGAAATGAGAAATTTGCTTTCAAAGCTATATTTTTGTAAATAATATTTGCTGCCAGTTGTTTTCTGGACTGTAATGACAAGTGGCATTGCCACAGTGGTGACTATGTGAATGTTACAGTGAGGGGTTTGTGTGTTTTCCAGATTGTCCTGAACGAAGCAACAAAACACCAACTGACATTTTACCTCAGATTTCTTTTTCTGGTTCCACTGATACAAGAGGTCAAATTTCAGAATTTCCTGCAGAAGTAACAGATATTGGTAATTACAATTCTTTCAAAATATAATCACTAGATGACTGAAACAGGAGATTCACTATCAGTACTGGTTTGAGTAGCTGCTACTACTGCCTCCCTCCAACTTGCTGAGATGCAGAACCCAAAAAAGCCTGCCTAGTCTCTTCAGTTGTACTGCAGGAGTTTTGCCCAGAATAAATGATTAAATAATTCTTCACTTTGAAAAAAATCTGGTGTATAAAATAAAGAACTTGTCAAATGGGTTATAATTTTTGTAAAGCACTGAAAACTTCCAGAAATAACTGATAACTGCTTAGGTGTGCAGATCAGGAAAAAAAAAGCTAACTAAGACTGTAATATTGTATTTATTGAAAAATACTTTCCAGTGAGGTTTAAGTACTGAATTATAATGGTATACAAATTCTTGTGCCTTCAGAATTCCTTTTATTACAAAGTTGTTTTCTAGCCCTGAGAGTAAATCTATTCTGTAAGAGCTGAAGGCATGTCTTAGTGATCTTCTGACTGCTTACAGCTTTTGTGAGCCTGTGTTGTCCCAGCAGACAGAAGTATTAAATGCATTTCTTTTGCATAGGTTTTGGTAACCGCTGTGCAAAGCCCAGAGGACCAAGAGAGCCGCCCTCAGAATGGACATGATCCAAGAACCAATGGACACATACTATTGATAAATTATACTGGAAAATTCAAGTGCCACTGAGAACTAGAGAAATAGTGTTCCACTTTCCTGGGGGGTGACTAACACAGAGCAGTGTAGATCTAACTATCAATGGTACATTCTTGCAGTGCATCCCACGCAAAACCTGACACATGGTTCACAACAGTGGATTCCAGTATTACAACCTTTTGCTGGGGCCATCTACCTGCCTTACTACACTTAGAAGAAAGTATTACATATGATTTATTTTGTAACTTCAAGTATTATTGCCTTAATGTCTTTTAACCCTGTTACACGCTGCTTGTAGACATATGTTAATATAGTAATACTTTTGACAGATTGTGTTTATGGACTACTTTTTGCTAACATTTGATTATCATGTATGCATTATTTTGTATATGTACAGGGCAAGTAAGTATATAATTTGATAAAGTTGCAATCATAAAATATTAACAGAAGATGTAAGAAATCTCTGCATGATCTAAATTTTTGTGTACCTTATTTGTAAGTTATTTGCCCTGAAGTTTTAGAAAATAGTTTCTGGGGTTTTTTACAAAAATTGCTGGACACACACAGCCAGAATTGCAGGTTAGCAGAGATAAAGATTGTAATGCATTTTGTAAATTGTAAGCAAAAGGTTATTTTTATATTATATACTGTTTAATTGTCAGACCTGATTTGTTCTGGTTTTCATCTAGTCATGGAGATTCAGTAAGTGCCTTGGAACAGTATTGAATTATTATTAGCCTGTGTATAATATTTCGGTGTTTTGAGTTCATCTGGAATTAGAGTATCAAAAATATTTGTATGTTTCTTAGTATATTTGACCTGCCAGTAAAAGAGAAACCATTTTACATTATCAACACTCCTTAGTTTTCATTTTAATGTTTCATCAGTTGCAATCTTTAGAAAGTTCATCTCTATCACCTTTCTATACAGTAGGATTTTACGGTTTTAATATGGCATGTTTCTAATTTGGGAAAACCAGAACACACTGGTAAAAGGACTGTTTCAATACCACTGTCTTCTCTTACAGATGGGGAATACAATTTATGTTGTTCAGCGACTCTGTATGTAAGAAAGCAACTTATATGAAGGTTCACCTGGAGCCCTTGCAGCTACACTGTATCTTGGCAATATATTATGTCAAGAGTTAATCCTTATAAGGATTCCTTACTTAAACTTTTCTGTAATACAATCTTTAAATTAAAGAAAGTAAAAATCTCACTCTGGGTGTTTTTACTCTTATAAAAGAAATCTGTGTTCAAAAGCAAAATGTAACAGAGTGAAGGATGGCAGTCTGGCTTAGCTTACAGATCTCATACTTGAACAGCACACTGACACTCAGAACCTTATTTTTAGTAACTACTTTAAAAGTTCTGACTACCAATAATACCAGACAAGTAAAGAATGTTTAGAAGAAAATGTTTATTTTAGGTAGTGAAAATATATTAATCTGAACTTTAGCTGAAAGTATTCTGATCAACTACTTGTACCTTTAGTGTCTCTGCTAAATGAGAGCTAATGCCCTGATAGCAGGTCTGTTGTAACTTCCTGAAGGTGCATAACTTGCAATTATTGTCTCTGACTCTGGTTTTAATCACCATGTGCTTCGTACATGTGACAGACTGCCAAGCTGGGGAGCTCTTTCAAAGAACTGTGTGCACTATAAATACTTCCCATGGATGTAGTTCTGCAGTTATTCATTTAAAAATAAATAATCCTATGATATATGCCATCTGGGATAATCTACATCAACTATATTCCTAATTTGTAAACAGTTCAGACAGCTGGAATGTTCTGCAGCTGGCAGAATAATGCTGGCCTGAACTTTGTCTTCCTTCCCTCATGCTGCAGATGATTAGCTCAGACTTTCACTCTTACAGAGCTCCTGTTGATTTATAATGCAAGATGGGCTGTCAGCGCCTCTGGGCTGACAAAGTCCAAATCATGGGAACTTTTGGGAAAAAAAGTTAAATAAGAAAATTTCCAAATATGTTTTGGATATACTTTTCAAGGATGCCTTCCATATTTGTCCACCAGTAAAATACAAATCTGTATAGGTAGTAGATTTTCTGGTTTTTACAGATGAATTTCACTTAACAGCAAAGGCTGACCCAAATCTGTGCACTGCATACAGGCCATCTGGTTATATTTAATTAAAGTACATCCAGGTTCATCTTTTCCTCCCCTTTGTTTTATACAGATTTGTATTATATTCTAGGCTGAGTTTGTCACAGAAAAAAACTCGAAAGATTGCAGCCTCTCTTTGCTTTAGTGATAAAAAACTGCAATTGTCCAGTATGTATTTCTGTTTCCTTTGACAGTGCTGATTCACAACTCACTGTTCACTGCTTCGGGTTTTATATTTTCACCTACTGTGTTTCAGATAAGCTGTATGTTTTAAGAGCAAGGTGAAACCTGCCCAATGTCATTACTTTTTGTATCCACTCTTGTGGGTGGTGCAGAGATAACTGCAGGTCTGGGTGCTTTACTCTAGGGAGTTCTGCGTCATAACTTTGAAATATTATCATCTTAACAGCTTCATAAAAAAAACCCAAGACCTTTCCTTGTGGTTTATTTGAAATGGAATCTAAAAGGGTTTAGAGCATTACATTGGCTTTTAAATTATCACTGAAGCCATTTTGTATATTAAAATCAATCCTGTTTAGTTCCAGTCTTACATGTTATTTTTTCTGAAAGCAGTCTTCAACTTGCATCTTTGAAGTGCAGCTTTTCAGGCATTGACTTGATCACTGCAGCAAAGAAGCAGTAATGCTACTCAACCCAGCTATTTTTATTAATAACTGCTGCATTGGCTTGTTTGTCCTTCAGTATTTTTCTAATACACTATTCATTAATTTTTCTAACTGTATTAATATTGAGTTAAATCATGCAGTGAATTATCACATCAAAAGAAAAATGAGTTTTCTTATGTTTTAGCAATGTGAATTTTCAAGATTCAGAAGAAAGCTGACCTCTACTAGTACCATTGCTTATCTCTATTACTCAGCATATTTAAGGTTATGTATTGATTTGGCAGGTAACAGTCTATTTTGGTAGTAATTAGAGCATTACACCAGCAATTTCATTTCTTACCTGCTAGGAAAGCCTGCTGCATTTACACTTAATTTTCCTTAAAGAAGTTTCTAGTTTGGAAACTGGGGAGAACAATGAAAATCTGAAAGAATTACCTCTAGGATTTTTATATTAGAATCTTGGGTTGGGTTTCTTTGGAGATAAATCTCTAGAAGAATGAATGAGATCAAGTGTGACACAGTGACTGGGCAGTGTGATAACCCTGTGCTGCTGGAGCAGTTGCTTTTAGCTGCAGGTCAGACTGTTGGGAAGCACCCAAATAAGAAGGTCTTGCCTGCAGCATAACCCTGACATGGTACAGACAGAAAGGGAACCCAGCAAGAGAGGGTTGGACGGGGAAAAGACTACCAATGAATATCATATCACCTTCAAAAGGGGATTTTGAGGAGGAACAAGGAGTTAAGGACTTTAGGCAATGGAACTGAGCAACCAGATATAATTACACACAACTACGGCTTTGAGAATTTTCTCAGGGCTTGAGGGAGGAGTAAGATCTCTGCAGTACAAGCAAACAAGTTGCAATTCCAACAGCCCATTGCCAAAGAAGGGCCTTTCTCACAATCTCAAAATGCTCTTCAGCTCTTAAGAAGCTGAAATGGCTTCTAAGGAAGGTTATCCTATGTGGGCTAAAGAAAAAGGCTAAATGCATGGAACACATAAACCTAGGACTGAGCATAGCTGGGGCCAGCCAGTACAGCACACTGACTGCCCTGCAGCCCTCTGAGTATCTAAAGCCTATCAAAACAGCAAGGCTGTGAAGTGGTTAGTAGCAGGCTTAGTAATATCCAGTAATAGCCAGGCTCTCTGATGTGACTTTTCCTAGCCATGTTCAATGCATGTACTTATTCAAAACACAGGTTTGTCAAGTGTTGGGTCAAACAGAACAAGAAAATAACTGTCTTCTTGGCTGCAATGCTTGTCATATCCTCAAGATCTGTACCAAATACTTCGCTTCATTGCTTCTAAGACCACATGGCAAAAGCTTAGTATTTTCAGTCTTAAAGCAGTGAGTAAATAGTGTTGTTTGCTGTTTTGATCTATTCAGTCATCGTTGCTGGAACAGTTGATTTCTTTAAAAACTTGACTCTTGCCTCTGAAATTGTATTGTGTCTGCATGAAGAACTTACTGTGGTGAAGCCAAGGTAAGAAATCAGTTTTGCATTTTGGCTTAAATCCTGCAAAGTTACATATCCTGTGCATGTAAACAGCCATGGTGAGCTCAATGCAGGTATTCATCCATGGGTGTTGCGTGTTCGTGTTTGCAGTTCTGGGGCGCTCGTAAGGACAGGGGTTAGCTCTGCCTCAGGCACTGTGGCTGAGCTCCACAGATTTCAGCTAGTGAGGTAGAAGTTGTCTTTCACATCTACAATTCCTACTTTGATCCACAGAGTTACAGTCCTTAATGTAAAAGATCACAGGCAGGTAAAAATACTGATCTTTTGGGTAGGTAGTGCCACAGTCTCATAGAGAGCTTGACTGTGAAGTCAAAAGAAGAGCTGGACTTGGATCAATGATGATCCCATTTTTCAAACATGAAGTATCAAAGACTGCTGAGCTTTTCTGCTTGCTTGATTCCACTCTTCACTAGAAGACACCTGGTGTGTAGTTCCATCCTACTGTATCTCCCACCTGCTACATCTGTGGCCTAATGTTAAATGGACCAAGAAACCCCATCAGGTTCATAATCTGAGTGTTTTCAAGTCTTTTGCTACATTTGTTCAAATTTTTAATTGCTTTCTTGCTGTTTTCACATTAAATAGGACATTCATTGTTTGTTCAAGTGAGCCTGGAGAAGCTGGCAGGAGGAATACACAAACCTTGTGAGGAAACATGCCAGCTGTGGTGTCTATTTGCTGTAGCTGTTCTTTTATTTGCTGCATCTGCAAAAGATATATGCTTTATGGTGAACATTTAACTTTGTGAGTTACACATTTTATCAGCCCTGCCTAGTGCACTTCTCGTCTTGGGGTTTCAGTCTTGTCTGCAATGAACACTATTTTGCTGTATGTGAAGGAAGGTTGGGCCTGGTGCATTCTAATTCCACATATCACTGTGGTATCTGGACACAACTGAACCCACCAGTGAAAGGCTGGCAGTTTTGTTAAACTACAGTAGTGTAGTTTTGGATCTGTTTCATGAGAGACAATCAAAAGCTAAAATAGCCATCCTTGTGAGCTCCAGTAGGGAATCTAGGGTTACCTTTCCTATTCATGTGAACAGCCTTTTCTGAAAAAGCACATGTACACTGGTTTTAATAAAAGTTAATTAAAAAATTACTCATAACTCAGGCCGTGAGATTCGTGGGGACACTTCAGAAGTGAAACAAGTTACCTGGTTAAAGCAATCCAAAGAATGGTCTCTTGTTTGGTGTGTGGTAAGAAGTGAGTCTGGCAGGGTTGGGAAGAACAAGGAGCATGTAATGCCAGAGAAGAGGAGGTGGAAGAGCTGAATTGTAGCAAGTACAAGGAGGAAACTGTCTTTGCCTGTGGGTAATAAAAGGTTGATGTGAACTTGTTAAGCAGGTTCCCAGTTTTGTAAGCTCCTCTGAAGGGCAGAAAGGTGTGGTTGGGTAACAGGAATGCAGCATGAGGAAGACGCTTCTTTAAATAAATTGTTGTGTTCCAGTTTCTACTCAAATCTGTATTGAGTACGAGCCTCTTGTGTTTTGCCTGATCAGGCCCAGACAAAGATTACTCTCCAAGATGGGAGAATAATAAGGATAATAACCTAATAAAGATAAACGGAGTCTTGAGACATCCTGGAGTGGGTGGGAGAGGTGGAGATGTGAAGAATGTTAAATTCGGAAATCTCTTGTCAGGGATTTTGAGACCTCAGTGATACCTGAACAAGGGCACTTTGTGATATCATTGCCATGAAATTAATACATCTTTGTCTGCCTGTTGACATGTAAATCACTGGTAAGAAGGAAACAATGCAAGTAATTCTTTTTATAATGTAAATCAACTTTTATTATACATTAGGACTAGTGAGACACCTAACAGCTCTGAAGTGGTTGCTGAGCAGCTCTTTCCCCTTCTGTGTTCTCAGACAGCAAATTCATACCAGTTCATTGATGCTGGAAAGAACACTCAAGTGTATTTTTTCCCTTAAATCTACCCTTTTTGGAAATAAATTTTCAGACCCTACAAAGTATTTCTACAGATAAATTAGTTTTTTACAGTTTAGATACTGAGTGGTGGTCAAAGTTGTCCTTGTTATAAATGAGTAGGCAATTTGATTAATAAAAAAGAATTTATTAAAAAATACAATTGTGAAAAGCCATAAGCAAAATTCAGTTTGACGCTGTCCCAGGTGAACAGCATCGGGTGAGGCAGGGAAGGGCTTGCTAGCACCGCTTCACCATGCTTCACAAACTGCAGCTATCCCAAGGTGCTTTTTATATGTTTTCAGGTTTTTCAGGGGTCTCTTAGAATACACTTCTTGTAGACAAATATTCATGTTGTTTTGGGTGTAAATGTTGTAATCTTGTTGGGTTTCTTGGAAATACACTTCTTCCAGACGAATATTCATGAGTTACAATCTTACTGGACAGAGGTTTCTTGGAAATATGCTCCCTGCAGATGCATATTCATATTGGCCTTGCTGCATATCACTATAATCTTGTAATGGAAGGTTTCCTGGAAATATGCAAGGATTCTTGTCAGACAAGATTATAACTTGAGCATGAATTTATTTATGTTATGTATTACATCCTGAATTTACTTCTCTGCCACTACTGCCTTTCACGTGTTTTGTTTAGAAGAATTGGAGCCCTCATTTGGGCAGCTGTTCCACAGCATCAGACTCCCTGATTCATAGGAAAGGGGGTGTCTAGTCTTACAATTAAAAAAAATGAAAAACATCAGGCCTCCTTTGGACCTCAGGCACCAGCCAGCCTCCTCTGGGTGCTAAGCTGGAATGGCTACATGAGCCAGAAGGTCTCTCTTAGAGATCTTCCATGTTAGTCCATAAGATTGAGCTCAACCCCGTCTCTAGGAGGGGTCTGGCTCCAAGAGAGGCAGCTCTGCTCTTGGGCCTGTGCACAATCCTCAGATCACAGGGAGGTGTTTTGGAAGGGAGCAGCATTTATCACTTAAATCAAATGCTTTGTGTTTCAGCTGTTCAGGGCTCCTCTCTTCACCACTTCTGGAGCATGTGATGTGCTCTAGGGACTCCCCATAACTCAAAAGATGGATAGTTGCTCTTACAGACCACAACATGCGCCTATCTAATTTGTATTTGAAACCATGAGGCAAATCCTCACATTGCTAGAGACCAAAATATGTCTAACAGTAAGGTCCCTAAAGAGGTCACCGGGGTATGTCACTGCTTGTAAATTTGCTGCACACTTCAGTTACTCAGAAGGCTGGCTGGAGTTTTTACTAGAATTTTTATCTTAACAATGTTTTGTAGATATATCATGCAAGCACTTTCCAGTGTCTCTTCTTTCAGTGATTAAGAATGCGTGACAAATTTTTCCATCTGCTTCTTCCTCTCCTTTCCCATTAACTGAGCATCAGAAGGAACCAGCATGAGGGAGCTCACTTGGAGCAGCCTCTGTGCTGGAGTCTGTGGTCAGATGACAAACCTATCCTGCACATTTGCTGGAAGTGGGGCTATCCATCACACAGGCTCAGCATTCCTACCTCTAAGCCAGGGCAAGACTGTACAAGTAACAAGGTACAATTGTGATTTGACATGAACAGGCTGGAAGAAGCCTGCTCATCTCCTATTTCAAGACTGTGATCTGAGGCTGATAGTGATGTGTTAGATTTACATTGAAATTATTCTGTCTATCCTGAGTGAATCCCAAAGCCCCTAACTGCCATCCAGTACATATATTTAATCATTTTTGGGTGCATTTATACTGTGAGATGCTTTCCTAATGCCATGGTATAGAAATTTCAGGTGCAATTATCTTCCAGTTACATTGGTACATCAGACAAAATCTGAGGAGATTATGGCAAATGCATTTTTACTTTCAACAGTTTGTCTTAAACTGTCCACTGATCCCAAGAGCTGCTGCCTTCATTCTACTGTGGAGTGAAATTTGTGTATAGACAGAAAGGTCTTTATTGTGGATTTTTCCATTAAGATGTTGTTTATGTGAGCAAGGAGCTGAGGTTAGGAGCGAAAGATTAGCTGCTTTATATATAACTAGCTGATTGTTTTCTTTTTATGTATACACTTAAAAATATAAACTGCTACTTTGCAAGTAAGTGTCTGTACCTAAGACACAAGACCTGAATTTCCTAGAAGTAAATGTATTCCACGGCCAGATTGCATGGGACTCTGATCAATCTGGTCTTGTGTAAAGTGTCCCTGCCCATGGCAGAGGGGTTGGAATGAGATAATCTTTAAGGTCCTTTCCAACCCAACCATTCCATGACCATTCTTTGATCTATCTATAATTTCAAAAGCCTTTAGGGATAAGAAAAAAAAAGCCATAAGGAAATACATACAGATTTCAGTTGACTTGAACTCACTGGTAAAAATAAGAGATATGCACATCTAATAGAACTGGTTGTTAAGGAATAAGTATCCTTTGAAAGTTTAGTTTGGGTGAGTCTGTGCCTTTTCTTTAGTGAAATGATAGAATCGTTTGGGTAGAATGGGAACTTAAAGATATATAATAGAAACTATGTCAAAACTTAAGCCAAAAAAGCCCTCAGTCAAAACCAAACTAGTTCCACAATCACCTGTGAAATCCTTGGAATCTCCTGTTGAACGACTTCTATAGAATTTCCAAGCTGATAAAAATGAAAGGATGGGATATGGGTCTATTTACAGCCCAGACAGGCACAGCTGAACTGGAAACGTGGCTGGTCTAAGTCCTTGTCATAGCAAATATTGATTCCTGTGCCTGCTGAAGCAAAGACTTGCAGGTACTTCTTTCCGTGATGTTTGGAGTGGCCTGCAGCTGGAGCATCAACAAGCAGAAAAGATGGTGATTTCCAGGCACAGCCCACAGAAAAAGCCCTTTTCCCTCTCCCCAAGGATGGGACCAGCCACAGCCTTGATGTAGAGCAGCTGTGGTAGATAAGCTGGGATATAAGGTTTAGGCTCTGTATTGTATTTTAAAAATGCAGACAGGATATAGTGAACAAATATGGGATTAGACACACTCTAGAGGGATTTGAGTGAAGGTGGATCTAACAGTAGCAGATTCTAGGGAGAGGGAAAAAATGACTACTTGTTTAAGTATCTATACAGATCTGTGCAGAGCAGCAGGGAATCCAGGTATCTCAAATTGCAGTGAGGAGGCTGTAAGAAATCTGTAAAAAATCCAGAGCTGCAAGCCAGCAGCTTAATTTGAAGAAATTTGTTCTTTTAATAGTTACTGAAATAAGAAAATGGCTAAGACTTTGATCCATCTCCTCCATGTGTAAGGAAATACAGTTTTGCTTGGCTTGCATCCTCTTGCTTTCATACTTATGTATGTATCTTTTGTATTGAAAAATTCTAATGATCTTTCAAATATTCAAAATTTTTTTTCGGTGCTATGAAGACAGCAGCTAAGCAAATCACCTTTTCAACTGCAAGCAGATATTTAAAATTGTATATATCAAGACTTTCCAAGTTTGCTCCATTGTTGTTATCGTTATTCTACTTAAAAAAAGAAATATTAGAGCTGAGGTGTTTAACACGTTAAACACAAGTGAGAAAACCAGTTGTAAAGACTAAAGAGCTGTTATAGCAGTAATCTGTAGCTGATTGAAAAAACATTAACCAAGAAACAAATACTGTGGGTCCTCCCTGAAGTGTAAACTCCTTTTTGTGGTTTTTATGGATTCTGTAAAATGTTGGCAGATGAACAGTGTAATAAAAACCATGAGTGTCCCAGTTGTCTTCTCTGCCGCACTGCCAAATGTCTAACCCTGAGCAGACAGCAGAGACATCCACTGCTTCTGAGGGGAAAAAAGGCTTTTTGGGATAACTGCTGCCTTGATCACTGGTTTGCTCAAGGATGCTGGGCTGCACATTCCCATTGCTCAGGCATGGGGATACTGTCCCTTGCGAATGACAAGGGCAGGAGAGGACAGTTCTTGTCCCCCTGCAGCAAGGCTCATCGTGCTGTCAGCAGCTCCCAGTTATGAGCCAAGTTAGTCCCCAGTGCCTCATTTAGTTCAATTGTTTGGGTGGTAATTCCAGAGGTATTTGGATATGTCACTGGTTGTTCTGAAAACCCTGACTATGGAAAATGAAGCTCTTCTCTAATAAATCACACTTTTACATTATGAGATCACCTTTGTCAGTACATTTCTGTGCATGTAAGGCTAGTTTTCACCTCCATGTCCAAAGATGAATTAACTGACTTTTATTTGAAATAAATTTGAAAGTTGAATTTGAAGAAAAAATATATAACATTAAAAATTACAGTTAGCTAATTTTGCAGACAAGAACCAGCATAAAGACGTCTAAGTGTTATCAAATGTTTTCAATTTACATTTGGCACAATTATTTCCATGCTTGACTTAAGAACAGAGTGGATGACAAACCAGGGAAGTAAGCACATGGAGAGCAAACTGTTGGAATTATAAAAAGATTAAATAACATTTCTGAAAACTGTCTTTCTCTTTGGAGACCTGAGAAAGGCTACAAAGCATCACTTTGGTAAGCAGTTAAAAGTACACTGTAACTCAACCTGTGTACAGTACTTACATTCAGCTTTTTATTTTATAGAGGATGTCTGAAATTATTCTATGTTTAGGTAAGCATATAAACTAATTTGTTTAAATAAATGCTTTGATTAATAACCATTTGTATCAGCATTTCATAATTATTCTAATTAAAATGGCAATGCATTTGCAAAAAGCAGGCTAATAACATGGGAAGCTTATTCTTAATGTATGTTGGATACTGGGCTGCTTTGTGCATTCTTACTGTAAACAGTAAAAACATTTTTTACTGTTACAGTTTTGCCTCATTTTGGTTTCCATGATCTAGAAAGTCTTCATGGATTTCCCTAAGTGCATATAAAAAGACAGATAGATAGATAGATAGATAGATAGATAGATAGATAGATAGATAGATAGATAGATAGAATTTCCATAGCCAGTTTTAAGGCTTCTGCTGAAATTGATGGGCTCTCTGGTCTCTTTGTGGGGTGCTGCCAACATCTCAAGGACTGATCCCCACAAAGACTCCCAGTTCTCACAGTTTTCTCTCCATAGGGGACTGGACTTGTGAGATGAGACACTACTGTATTTCTGTGTAGTAATTTGATTTGCCGCAGTGTTTTGACAATGTTTCTTGAGATTGTATCATTTAATATGTATTTCATTTTTCAGTTAACATCAGAACAAATTTCTGCTTCTAACCTGTATTTTATGCAAGATATACTTCTTTTATTTGCCCCTTTTTTGTTGAAGACACTCTATTCTGAAGCAGTTTTGGTGTTTTTTATCTTGTCTTTATTTCAGGAGCATCTGCCTGGGATGTGTGCACAGCAGCCAGAGGTTTAATTAAAGCAAAAGCTGGTAGTAAGGAAGACACCCTGAAATTTAGTTTTAATGCTTTGGAATGTGTGCTTGCCATAGGTATGGTGGAGCACTTTAATGTATCTGTGTGACTGGTGACAAAACAAGTGACAGGGACAACACCCCTCCCTCTAATGCCCATACAGCAGCATGACTGCAGGAGCTGAAAGAGAACTGGCTTCTGAATATCATGCACCCTGCAATTTCCTCTGGTGACAAATGGGTATGAGATAGCAGCAGCAAACCTCCAAACATTAGTCACACTGCTTTCCAACAAGCAACAATTACATGTAATAGGTACTCTGTCATCTTGCTCCAGCTGAATTTTATAAAGAATGCACTAATAAAAATTTGACTTATACTTACAAGCACAATATGCTACTTCAGGAAGCACAGGAAACAACTTCAGCTTGACCTGAGTTTAGTAGCATATTATCAGTTGTTAGTTTGCTGTACATTTAGAAGTTTATTTGTCAGTTTTTAAATCAAGTATTGGGCTATGAGTCCTTTCACCAGTTTTATCTTTGTATCTATTTTCATATTGCTGGGTTGCATTATAATTCAATGCATTTTTAAGACATCCAAGCTTGTCCACTACAAAGATCAGAAATATGACCTGTCAATTATTACCATTGATGTAAGTGCACGTATCAAGATATTCAGCTATTTATACAGCTATCCAACCTCATTAGCCTAATAAGTCTTGCTAAACCTGCTGTACAGAGAAAAGTGATGTACTCCTATGCCTGATTCTGGCATTTCATAGATGTTATGGTCAAGTTCCTTGAACCAAAACCAAGCTCTAGGATTTACTCTAATTAAAGAACAAAGAAATGCTGCTCTTCCATTTCTCAAAGTCCCTAAAAGTGAAAGGTGAAAATATGATTGTGACTTACCTGAAGTTTAAGTGATAATATATATTAATATACTGTTGACTTGGGATCAATACTGGCATAAAAGTAAGATGAACTTGGTTGTAAAGCCTGTTGAGACATGCCATGAGGCGCCTTAAATCCTTACTCTAGTCACCACAATCCAGTTTCCATTAGGGACTGGCATATAGTGATACTAATGGCCTCGTCCATATTGTGGCACCTCTAGCATCACTTGAGACAAAATCACTGATTTGGACTAAGGTGGATGGGTACACCTTTACTGGAAAAGAGACATCTATGAAAATGCACAGGTTTTTCTCACCCTCTGATACAAATAAAGCATTTCTGAGAGGAGCTGAAGATTACCTTCATACTCATAGGCCCACTCTAGTTTACCAGCCTATGTACACATGGGTACTGGATTTCAGTCTGGGATTGGATGTGAGTTGACTATTGCTGAAATACATGCTGTGAAATGTTCTTCCTTCGGCGCAGATGCCATTTTCCCCATCAGACCCAGAAATACAGTTTGAGGGTACACTCTCACAGTAGTGGAACTTGAAACATCTGAGGAAAAAGCTGAATTGTCTGGATACAGGAAATCTATTCTTTGCTGCTGTTGAGATGAACACTGAACTGCATTCAGCCTGGTTTCCAATTTCTAAAGAAACAAAGGAGATAGGCTAGGTGCTAGGAGCTTATTCTGAGGCTGATCAGTGGCAGTTCAAATGAAAATGCTTTGTGGAGCAAAGAAATCTAAACTTAAAACCTTTGTGTGCTAACACATCGTGTACAGAACTTCTCAGAGCAATTTAATTTGGCTGTTATTTGCCAGGTTCGGTTTAATATGGCAGTGGCTCCGTTCTCCCCGCGGCGACCCGGAGACCCGAGGTGTGACTGACCAGAGCAGGAGCCCGGCAATGCGAAACTCCAAGAAATTTCTGTGCATTTCCACGACGCTTCCTGCTGACACCAGAACTTGGGGGAATTTAGGTCTGCTCCTGAACCGCGGCGATGGCGGCTTTAGTCGCCAAAGGCACGAATGGGGAGCTCCTATTTGGGACATTGAGCTCAAATCCCTTCCCTGAGCCACGGCGGTCAACGATCCCCTGGTGACAGACCCCCGACTATCCCCGGCGAGCTGGCATCAGCACCTCGCACAGCCGCTGACCTCGGCAGCCTCTGCCTTTCTCCCATCAGGACCTCCGGAGCTTCCAAGCTTTATCTGTCTCCCTCCAGGATGCGGGAGAGCGTGGAGAACTCGGGTTCAGAGACCGCCGAATGAACAACCCTCCGGCCCCGGGACATCCCAATGGACAGGTCCATCGCCTCCCGCAGTACATCCACAGGGAACGGCGCTACTCCAGACCTTCCTTATTCCCAAACAAACGCCCCTCCCAGGAATAGCCCGCGAGGCCGCGAGGATCCCGTCAGCCGCTCCCAGAGCGGAGAAGCCGAAAACCTGAAGCGTTAACGAAACCCCCGGGATGCGCCGGGTTCCAAACCTCCCTTACTCCCAACC